CTTCACCACATTTGCTTATGCACCCCTTTGTCTTCAGCGATTGGTTTGTTTTTGTTGTTATTTTTTTGGGGGGGGGTTGCCACCACCACCCCCCTTTTCTTTTTTCCCAGTTGGTCAGGACGGGAGAAATAGGAAGCGTGTTGTTGAGAGTAGATGGTGATCGGAAGCCCCTGTAAATCATCAGTGTCACCCAAAATGGATCCTAAGTAAAGATGTGCTGTCTGGTCAGGGGAGTTCTGGAAACTAGGCTTGATCTGATTGTACTCTTTTAGACCATGTGGCTTAGGTATTTGGAGTGGTAGTTGCAAAATCGAGGGTTCAAACGCACCAACCTCTGCAGGAGAGCGAACCAGCTGGCTGCTCTCATAAAGATGCACAGTCTTGTAAATCCGATGCTGGTTCACTGAGAGTCAGAATGGGCCCAGCGGCAATGGGGGGCGGGGGGGTTCTAAGGCTACCGGGAGGAAAGGCACAGATCCTCCCCCAAAGTCATTTGCCCATCGCTACTTGGGTGGGATGAGCAAGTAGGAGGAGGATTTGAATGCAGGGTGATGGGGCTCATTTAAGTATGTAATGTGCTAGAAATCAAATCACCCACTGCTACCGAGCGGTAGGGATTAGGACACACAGTGACCCTGTGGAACAGCAGTAGGGCTGCTACTAAGGGTTTATGAGGTTATAAATGTTTACAGTATATAGCTTCATCTTTCTCCCGTGGAGCAGCTGCTGGCGCGTTTGAACACTTGAACCGCGGACTTTGCCGAGTGCCCAATACAGGTGCACTCAGCTTTGACCTGAAGATTAGGGATGTGTTCTTTTGGTGAAAGTGCGTAGAAGCTGAGTCTACAAGATGTAATGGCTCAGTCCTGCTCATGTCTCAGTCAATTCTGACTCATGGAGACCCTACAGGATCGAGTAGAATTGTCCCTGTGGGTTTTTCTGAGACGGTAAATCCTTATGGGAGCAGAAAACTTCATCTTTCTCCTGGTAGTTTGGAACTGCTGTCCTTGCAGTCAGCAACCCAGTGCATCATCCAGGGCTCCATTCAGTCTTGCTAGCCAGCTATACAAGGGCATTCCAGGAAGAATAAGGACCCAGAGTCACAGCCAAGTCGCGAGCATTCCCCAAAATACCAGTTGCTCTGATTATATCGGGGGCGTGGTGGAGAATTGAGACAGTAGTTGCAGCTTGGCCATTAAACAAACGTGCGGGGTTGTCTCCGTTTCTCAAGGTAGGGAAATCTGTTGGATCTAATAAAACATTTCTATCTAAACCGTTAAGATTAGTTCATCACTTAATGGTCCAAGTGTTGCCATTTACTGAGAATGTGTCATTATCTTACAGTTATAGGAAATTAAAGCATTAGCGTTTATTGAGTAACTGCTACATATATTTACATTAAAATTAACTTAAAAATCATTTTATTGGGGGCTCGTACAACTCTTATCACAATCCATTGTGTCAGGCACATTTGTACATTTGCTGCCATCAGTTTCAAAACATTTTCTTTCTACTTGAGCCCTTCATATCAGCTGCTCCTTTTTCCCCTACCCTCCATTCCTCATGAATAATTTATAAGTTATTATTATTTTTTCATGTCTTACACTGACCGATGTCTCCCTTCACCCACTTTTCTGTGTCTCGTGGTGGGGCAGCCCTATACATTGGCTCCTCTGAGCAGGAAGATCGTCCTCAGGACTTGGTGGGCTAGGATGTGCTCCACACTCTCTCCCTCCTCAATTTGTTTGCTCCTGTGTGCTCTGAGCAGACATATCCCTCTCCCTGAGCTGTGGCTTCAGTGCTGTCCTCTGAAGGGAATTCTGGGGGGAGAAAATGAACTCTTTTGACTTGTTTATTTTCATTTTCAGAGACTGCTTTGTATAAATCCACCGCTGTTTGAAATCTATCAAGTTTTATTAAGTCCAACCCAACATCATGTAGCACTTATAGGACTAAAAGGACTTACGGTATTAGAATTACCTAAAAGATGGGGGAAGAATTCTGAATTTGAAGGTGGAAAATCAACAGTGAATTGTAGGTAAGTCATATTTCTATTTGATTTTTATCTGTATGATTTGTATTACATGTAAAAAATTGTTCAAGACTAGTGGTTCTGACAGTGTAGTATTTTACTATGGAAAGAAATGTTGTGTGTGGTCTAGTCAATTTAGCTTTTAGTGACCCGGATGTGACCAGGTAGAACTGTCTTTTCTCCTGCTGGGCCACTAATGAGTTTGAAATGGCCATCTTTAGGTTTGCAATCACCCATTGTGCTTTCAGGGCTCTTTATGGCTTTTTATGATGAGTATTTATGGTATATGTGTAATTGTACTTTTATTTCTGCCCGAGTTATCACATTGATGTTTCATCGAGAAGCAGGTCATTTCCTCATTTAGGTAGAAATATGGATCTTAAAAGCTTGAGTCAAAGTTTGTCTGATAGCATGTCCTGCCCCCACCCCCAACCAAGAAACGTGAATTTGAAAGCTCTACCAAAATAATTATAAGATACAAGTCCAACTTCATGTTTACCTCTACAACTTTTAGGTTGGGTCTTCTTAAAGAATCTATTTTTTAGATGTTTTCACATTTTCAAAATAGGTGTAATATCCTAGCCCACCTAGCACATCCTAGCCCACCAAGTCCTGAGGACGATCTTCCTGCTCAGAGGAGCCAATGTATAGGGCTGCCCCACCTACCTTCCTCATAACGGTTTATTACAAGCATCAAATAAGATACTGCATTTAAAAACACTAGTAAAGTATTATAAAATACTCCGTAGTTTAGAAAAAGGTTCTGCAGGTTTTTGACTCTTTGGTATTGATTGAATCGGTACTTCAGATGCTAACTTGGCGAGATCTAAGAGAAAGGCATTTAAAGACAACACAGTGTTAACATTGATTTTCCTTTAGAAAATGATGTACCCACATTCTCCAGAATGTTTTGGAAAATTGTTGTCTTTATTTTAGTACCACTCCGATTGCTGAGAGATTTTTCACCAGTTCTACCTCTCTGACTCTAAAGCATGCTGCCTGGTATCCAAGTGAAATGCTGGATCCCCACATAGTGCTGTTAACATCAGACAATGTAATAAGGTAAGTTTTGTTTTTATCTCTGTTGTAGCTTTGTGAGTAGGAGTTCCTGTTTGCCATTAAATAGCTTAAGGTGCCACCAAATGATTTGTTGAAAGTTGGACAGCTTTTATTTGCTGCCTATTGCTACTTATTCTCAATCATAGATGTTACCGCCAACTATTCTAACTTACGTACTTGCTTTAGTTACTGCTATTTCTTCTGAACTTCTCTTCCTTGTCTCCAGCCTTTCCTTTCCTAGTCTAACCCATTAAGTACTGTTGAATAACATTCCCCAAATGGTTTTCCTTACGTTACTCACTGGGAGGTAGTGTGGCATTGGGGAAAGACAATGCAAGTGGGGATTGAGAGACAAAGTTTTGTTCAGACACCAACTCACCGTGTGACATCTTGTCCTTAGGAGGGGAGGCTAGTTTCCAATCTATAAAACAAGCAGGTTTGATACTTTCGAAAGCCCTTTCCAGGCCTTATGTTCTATCATGAAATGTCCCAATTCTACAAACATTTCTATTACTCGCTTTCTGGATCTGCGTATATAAAGAGTTTATTGAGGGACCTCAACCCAATAGAGGAACAAATACTTTCCATTTTGTTTTTCCGTGACTTATTATAACTGCTCTACCAAATCTCTCCATGAGAGATTTCTGGTTACTTCTAGTTATTAAAAGTCTAGTCTAGTTGTAAACTCTGATTTCACATACATTTCAAAACTGTCATCTGACCTTTTCACAGGTCAGACCTATGTCTCAAGGGATCTGCACTGTGTGGAGAGAGCCTGGTCTGTTCTTTCTCTCTTCCTTGTGTCCTGGTACTTTGGATCGGGAGTAAGCAGAGGAGGCTTGCCTCCTGTTTTTGGTCTGATTCCTTCAGAGTGGGGATCGGGAAGATGGGATGGAGGGCACAGAAGGGTGGTGTCCTTCTTTCCCAAGGTTTCAAGTGTAAAGACGATATCTGTTGTGAACTGTTTTCCTGCCTCAATTAGGGTGATCATCTAATCACCTCCCATTCATTCTTTTAATGTGCTTTGGTGTGTTACATTGGTCCTTATGTTGAGCCACCTTGACTTTCTGGCATAAATCCCATTTAACAATGCTGTGGATCTTAATTTGCTTTTAGATTCAGTATGAGGCATCTTTTAAAAATATTAGGTAGTTAATGTTCCCTTTTCCTAAGTTTTGAGCCCTGTTGATACTTTTAGGGCAAAAAGAAATCTCTACGCAATGCCCTCTTAGACTTTTCCTTTCACTGAGCCCTAGCACAGGACAGCTGACCAGTTCTTGTGTTTTGAGAGCATGGCTTATGCTATATACTTTTGTATCCCCTAGATACCAATGAAGACCATTGGAACTGTGCATTCAGTTGCATCAATTTATCATTAAGTACTTAAATATCATTTTTGGTAAAAGAACATCCAAGTTTTAATTTTTTCAGTGAGATTGAACAAAATTAATTGATTCATTTGGGAATGACTTTATAAGGACTATAGGTTTCTAATCTTTATATTCTTGGCTTCAAATGTTTCTCTTTTTTTTTTTCAGTACCTAATTGCTCTTTTTTTTTTTTTAATAATCATTTTATTAGGGGCTCATACAACTCATCACAATCTGTACATATACGCCATCTGTGTCCAGCACTTTAGTACATATGTTGACTTCATCATTCTTATGACACCCACTTTCCACTTGAGCCCCTGGTCTCAGCTCATTTTTCCCTCTCCCTCCCCGCTCCCCCTGAACCCCGATAATTTATAATTTATTATTATTTTATCAAAATGTTTCTCTCTTAACAATAGTCATATGCTGTGAAAATTTGAGTGACTTTAAGTAAATGATCTTGGTTTAATTTTTTCTTGCGCTCTCCCTTAGGAAAATAGTGACATGATAGGATCTTTATTGAACAAAAATATGTATATGACAACAGGCTAAATGTCACTCTAATAGCCAGTTGGTGTATAAGTAAGAGGAAGACATGGCTTTCTCTGATGGGATTTGGTGTCTAACAGGTTGAGACAGGGCAATGGAAGAGAAGTTGACAAGCTTTGGGGAAGTAGTGAGATGACTAGATAAGGCGAGCCTGGCCTTGCATAAGCCAAGAGCTCAGGATGGAAGAGATGAGGTGAAGTAGGCTGACAGAAACTTTTGGTAAGGCTAGAGAGTATTTCCTGAGGTCACGAGGAAGCTTTTCCATCTATGTTTTAGGGAACAAATCAAGTAGGCTACTTTGACAGTAACACCAAGATCTTTACCAAAGAAATGATGGCCTTGTTGGAAAGTTCTCAAATAGGAACTGACCAGATTAGAGAGGAGAGGGCCATTCTGGAAAATGAATTTTAAATGCTAGGTGTTAATTGTTTCTTTTTTGTTTGCTAGAATTTATTCTCTACGTGAACCTCACACACCTGCTAAGGTGATCATACTTTCAGAAGCAGAAGAAGAAAGTTTAATACTCAATAAAGGGTAAGTTTGTGGGTGGACTGAGGTGTGCTTTTTTTTTTTTTAACTGATCTCTTGGTATTATACAAGTTCCTAGCTACTTTGACCCCTGGCTGGGTCACCTTCTGAATTAAAAATGCCATTCCCTTGGCCTCCCAATCAGTCTTCCTGCTGATTAACACACATGATCACCTGGCATGTGCATGTAGTATGAAGCTTTCAGTGGCAATATTTCTGGAACTTCCAGTAGTTCTTTTCATGTCTCTAGTGATCATATCTAATAGTCTTAGGTATTTTGTTACCGTAATCTTTATTATTCTTTTATCTATTCTGGAGTGTGGTACCCAAAATCCTCAGGGTGAATCTAAATTTCTATTTTCTGTTTCTCCGAACTTGATTGTATTAGTTTGTCCTAGTGTGATTGCTGCTCTTTAATTGTTAACTTTAGTGAGGGTGCTTCCAAAAGTTCATGGAATTAAAGATAATGAATTTTTCCACAAGTGTTTTGAAACTCCCTCATATTTGATCTTAACATTTGAGAATATTGAGAGCCTGAATTGGACGTGTGTTCCTCCAGATGGGATTTGCATCTGCTGGGAGCCAGGTGTTGCTTCTGACCTGGGACCACTATAGTTCTCTTCAGTGGTTCCAGAACTGAACGCTTCAATTAAATGATTTGAGTGCCTTACAGCATCAACTTTTAAAATGTGAAATATCCATCACCACAAGGAAGGAATACTTACTTGCCTCTGAGAGGTAGATTCTGTAATTGAATCTTACAAACATGCCTCCCCTGCCCTGCCGTTGCCCCGTTTCCATAGCAGACCACCTTTTGACATATACATTCTCTAGGTGTGTGGGAGTAGAGCAGATGGAGTTGGTGAGAACCTTGGCTCTGGTGTCAACACACCTGGTTTCTAATCTCATCTCTGCCACTTGCCAGTTCTGACACCTGGGCAAACTGTTTAGTTTTATGAAAGCTCATTTCTATGTATATTTAAGCTACTTAAATTCAAAGTAGCATATATAATTTTATAGCCTGCATCTTCCACTTTATGAGCATTTTCCAATGTTGCTGAACATTGTTCCTAATAATTTTTTTTTCCTCTTCACTATGTGAAATACTAGCTCTATACCTGTCTCCTCTAGTGGAGCATCTCAATTTTTTCTAACAAGTTGGTTTTCCAAATGTTCCAGACGGGCGTATACTGCATCTTTGGGAGAGACAGCAGTTGCATTTGACTTTGGTCCGTTGGCACCAGTTTCGAAAAATCTATTTGGACAGAAAGGCAAAGATGAAGTCGTGGCATACCCACTGTACATCTTATATGAGAACGGGGAGACTTTCCTTATGTATGTTAGTCTGTTACACAGGTAAGATGAAGTGGGGACCCACTGGAAAAGAAAACCTGGCTTGTGCTTTAGGAGAGATTGTGATGCTGTGACTTGGGATTCACATTGTAGAGTTTGTGGTAGTGTTGCAGCCTTTGGATGCTTGGCCTGTGTATTTTAGAGTAATACTTGCTGTGGATCATTTGACTTTAATTTCTTCATATTGCTTAATAAGCTCTGTAGAATTCTTGAATTCGATAGATAGAACCTAAGAATAGACGGGGTTTGTGTTCCCGAAGTCTAGGCAACTAAGAATATATTGCTCTTTTATATCCTATTTGTACAAGGCACTGTGGGGTAATTCGATGGGGTCAGCTGTTATGTTGTGTCTCAGCTCTGAGGAAAAGAGTACCTGCACATGAAGAGCTAACTAGCCCCCGACCTCAGGGCCCAAAAGAAAGAGAAGCTGAGGTTTTCATAGAGAAATGATACCATGTAGGACGTCAAGGTCTAAAGCAGTAGTCAATGAAACAACAACAACGGGCAAGCCCATTTCAGTCGTGAGGGCAGCTTTAAGTAGAGAATGCAAACAAGCAAATACCAGACTCGTTTAAGGTTCCGTGTTAGACCGTTTGAGCTAGAGCAGAGCATTCATGGAAAGAGTTTTAAACGATAGAGCTAGAAACGTCTGTCAAGGAAAGCATAAAACCAGACCCTTGGCTGTCACAGTCAGTTGCAACTTATAGGGACCCTCCAGGGCAGGGTAGAACTACCCACGAGGGGTTCCAAGTCCGTAATCTTTACAGAAGTAGGCTGCAACAGCGTTCTCCTGTGGCATGACTTGTGGGTCAAATCCCCAACGTGTCGATTAACAGCACTTTCATGGCTGTACCATCAGAACTCCTATGGAGTTAAATGCTCTGTGAAGGAGTCTAAGAGTCTGTACTGCTGTGAGTAAAGCCAGTGTTGGTTTCTGATCAGGGGAACTATAAAGTAACTAGTTAGGGAGGAGACTGGAAAGGGGAGGCCTTAGCTGTTGTGAAATTGAGCTTAGAGTCTAAACGAGAGCATGGAAGCTATTACAAAGGAAGGATCCGTAAGAATTCAGGTATTGTTTGGACAAAGGAGCTGTCCATTAGCAGGAATAATGTAATGCATCATCCTGCAGTTGTAACAGCCCCACAAAGTTAACTCGGGTTCAGAGTTACTGAGATGGTGAAGCGGGGAAGAGAAAAGAGTGGAGAATTGAGACTGTATGTTTTTAATAAGGGATTAGTATCTGAAAGATGACAAAGTCAAAGAAAGGTATTTAGTGATAAACCTGGTTGTCTTCTGTCAGTATTTCCCAAATATGTCTTTATTCTTTGCTTTAGCCCCGGAAACATTGGGAGGTTGTTAGGTCCGTTACCCATGCATCCTGCTGCTGAAGACAATTATGGTTATGATGCTTGCGCTATACTCTGCCTGCCCTGCGTCCCCAATATCCTAGTGATTGCTACTGAGTCGGGGATGCTGTATCACTCTGTTGTGCTAGAAGAGGAAGAAGAAGATGACCAAACTGTAAGTGCAGGCTGATGTGGATGCATTTTTTGGCTTCAACACTAGCTCAGTGAATGCTTAATATGTAGGGAATTTTAGCACGCCTGGCACTTTTGTTATTTGGGAAATTGAACATTAAAATGCCATTGACACAAGGGGGCTGGTCCCAGCCCCAAATACTAAGTGGATGCCTGCCCCTCCCCTGAGAAGAATGTATCTCAAAGGATGACACTGAATCTGCAGCTTCGGGAGAAGGATATATCTGACCAGAGCACACAGGAACAGATGACGGGGGAGGAGGAGAGACTGGAGCACATCCTGGCCC